GTTGAGGGGCAGTTGTGGGGGTGTCTTGGGGGGCGCTGTGGAGAGGTGAGGCAGCGAGAGCCGGGTGCTCCCTGAGAAAGCCCTAAGGGGCAGGAGCTTAAAAATAGCCCAGCGTGTTGCAGGTAGCTTCCTAGGCCCTATTAAGTGCACTCCTCGCCAGCGTGAGTGTTCGGCGTGCTAAATTAGCTGTTAACAAGCATTTGAAATAGTATAATTTATGCTAATTCAAAATAGTCCCATTTCCAAACCACTTATTTTTATCCTGCCAATTGCTGCAGTTCCCCACCATGGCGCAGAGGCAACGTGCTGAGAGGGGCTGGTCTTGGGGGCTCTGGGGGTGAATCCCATGGAAGGGCCTCCTGGCATCCCCAGGCACCTGTGGTTTGGATGGAACCAGCCACCCCTTCTCCCACCCAGGGCAGGGACCTGGAGTGGTCTGTCGAAGGGATGGAGTGCGGATGCTGAACTCTGGATAATTCTGCCACCGGCACAGGGCTTTCGCCGGCTGAGTGGCCTCACAACTGGGGTGGAAGCTATTCAGGGAGTCCCCTTCCTCTACCGCCCATGGCACAGGCCTACCCACCTCACCTTTGTCCAGCTCTGCCCACTGCCCTCAGCTCCAAGGCCACGCCCCAGCAAGGGTCGGGGCCACATTGGCGAATCCCTTTCCTGCCCGAGCTGGGCACTTTGGGGATGGGGTGGGCTCTCTCTTTCAATTGTTCCAACAAAGGACACCCCCCAGAAGAAGAAGCTATCAAGAAGATTCGCACTGGGCACTTCCGATGTTGGACATAAAAGCTGGCTCGTTCGCCGCAGAACTGCAGCCTTGGAAACCGTCGGGGCAGTCTAGTTGGTCCTGCAGGGCTGTGTGCATCGGCGTCGACAGGGCGGCAGTGAGCTGTCGCCGTCAGCTGCCACTGAGTAGGCTCTGAGGCCTTGTGGCCTTAGGACAGCAGAGGGAAACGTTGCCTGATCCCATGCCATGCTTACTGCTGCTGTTGTTTGTGCCCGTCGTTACAACCTGTCAACCCAGCCCAGTGAGGGTGTCTCTCCTTCAAGCTGACTCCCTATGTGACCAAGCACAGTGTCCCTCTCCAGGGACCGGTCCCTCCCAATGACACGCCCGAAGTTTGTGATAAGGGGTCTCAGCATCCTTGCTTGTAAAAAGCATCATCCTGGCCACGCCTTGTCCAGGATGAATTTGTGTGCTCTCCGGGCAGCCCGCAGTATATTCAGCACTCCTCGATGCCCCAGCCCCGAGGCCATGTTCCTCACAGAAATGGACAGCTGACACCCAGGTGCAAACGGGCAAACCCAGTGACAGCGAGCGGTGAGATGAGGGACTGCCGCTCCGACTGACGCAGGAAGAAGGGACCAAGCTTTCTTCCCTTGGAGGCAAAGGCAACGTCCTCCTGGGAGGGGTGTGGGACAGTTTGGGGGGGTCTTCACAGTTGGCAGAGAAATGTCATCAACAGGAGAAATGGCCAGGAGAGCAGGGCTGGTGTGTGCGGCTATTGGCGGAACTGGACATCGCCAAAGCCAACCTGCAGGAAAAGGATGGAGCGGAGGACTGGGATGCCAAGTGCTCAGCGTGAGAGGCCGCAGAGAGCATGGAAGCCACAGAGCGTGGTTGGTGGACTTCTGTGGAAGGCCAATGATCTGCACAGCTTCAAGGCCAGGTGGGAAGGTCATTGCCACAACCCCCCCAGTGGATCAGTAGAGACAATGACTCCTGTCTGGAAGGTAAGCAGGGGGAAAGCCTGAGCATGCCAAGTCCTTCCTAATGCAGAGAAGAGCCAGGAGGAGAAACAGCAGCAGAGGGGGGAGGGAGACAGGCGCCCGATGCCCAGTCAACTGTAGCACCAAGCAGGAGAATGCCTTCTTGGATCTTCCAAGCCCGGGACAATGCCAACTTGGACAGTTGGTATTATCATTTGATGATGAGACTCATAATTGGGGAGGCCCTGTGGTTTATTGGAGGGTCGCAGAGCTGGGATTCTACTCCCAGTTTCTCTTTACCCAACTGTCCTCTTTCTGCCAAAATGTTGTGGTCCACCCATCTCCCTCTCTCTCTCTCACTCCCCATCCCTGGGGGATAAGCTCATGCATTGTGATATTGAAAATCGTGTTACACCCTTTGGCACAGGTTGGAACTAAATCATTGGTGTGTTCACAGTGTGCTTTGCCCGGCATCACCCTCTGAGGGGCTCCTGCTTATCCCTCCCAAGAGTTGGGTCGGCCACCCAAGAGACGTGCTAATGACCTGCAAGGAGCAATAACTTCCCTGTGTTGGGGAGAGACAAGGAGCAGAAACGTGCTTCTTTGGTAGCAAGAAGATCTTTGGTCCAGCATGTTCTCTTTCAGAATGTCCCAAAATAAGGTAGATTACCCCCCAAATTGGTAGATGTCCTTAAACATACTTTAACAAGGACAGTTCGGTTAAGAGTAATCAGAGATGAAAGTTAAGAGCAAAACCCACAAAGGCTCCCATGAACATGAAACATGAACTTCAAGTTCCTGAGAGAATTCAGAACAGAAGATAATGAGATCTGCAAGGCAGGAAACAAGATCACATCTTCACTCGAGAGGACCATCTTAAAAGAGATTAACCGATGATTTCCTTATATACTAAAGAACAATCTTCAGGCGCCGGGGATGACTTTTAAATAAGAAAAAATGTTCCCCTTAGAAAATATAGCTTAGATACTACCATCTTTTAATAGCGAGGCGTGGGGGGGAGGGCGGGGGGTGATGTGTACACATGGGATCAGACAGGTAAAATGAAGAGGGGTGTTGGTTGGACCAGAAAACAGTTTGTGCAGCAGCAGAGCCAAACAAGAAGTTACCTGAAGGCGCGGCAGCTGAAGTTAGCAATGCGCTTCCCGGGAGTCAAGCAGAAGCTGAGCCTGGCCAGGCCCGTTTGGCTGGCGTTCGGAGCCGCTGAGTCAGTTCTGTGCGCAGATCAGAAAGAAACCCTGCCCTGTCCTGCGCCTCCTCCCAACTGTACTTGCGCTTGAGCCCTTGGCAGCATCACCGCAGGGGGTAAAATTGACTCTTGGGGGCAAAAACAAACAAGCAGACCCACATCATGCAAAGCACACACACATGCATAAGGTCCATGCCATCAAGTCCTGTGTCCATCAGAAAAACACCGACCAGACCAGCGGCGTCCTCACACGGGGTATGTCTGAGCCCGTTGCTGCAGCCACTTGTGCCAGCCGGCTCATCAAGGGCCTGCCTCCTTTTTGCTGCCCTTTCCTCGGGACCGGTCTCCCTGGTAGCATGCCACGGTCCACGAGCCGCACCATCTCACCATCCTCGATGCTGAGCAGCATCCTCGGGGTACTTCTTCCGAGAGGAATTTGTTTTTTCTTCTGGCACTCCGTGGTCTACTTAACAGTCTCCAAATGCACCGACACTTCCTCCTCAGCCCTCCGTGTTCAATGTCCAACTCTCCACGCATAGGAGGCCACTGAAAAGGCTGGTGGCAGGTGCCACCTAGCCCTCAAAATGGCGCCGTAAGGGATGGACACTGAAGAACACCCGAGAGGCCATGGATGGCCAGAAAACCAAACAAAGCTGTCTTGGAAGAAGCACCGTCACAGTGCCCCTTAGAACGAAGGTGGCGGGATGTGATCGGGAGGGACGGTCCCCCGAGAAGGACATGCTTGGTCCAGCAGACGAGGACCCTCCCGGAGATGGACTGGCATAGTGGCTGCAAGGATGGGCTCAAACACGGGACTGTCTGGGAGGGAGGTGGCGGGCCGGGAAGTGTCTTGCTCCTTCTGGTCCTCTTAGGACCGTTAGATTGCGAGCTGAAGGGACAGTTGTATAGCAATAGCACGGCCTTTAGCCAAGGAAGTTAAAGGACTCCTTGGGGAACAATCGTGAAAGAAATGGCTGAGAAATATTGTTTCTGGGCAGAAAGGATATATATGATTGCATCTAGCAAGGCACAAAGGACTCCTGATGGCACTGCAGTGCCCAGCCCAGAGGGCACTTCTAGTCCACCCGTCGCAGGAGCCTGCCGGCAGTTGGAATCGACTGGATGGCACTGGCAGCAGTGGGGCCAACCTCCCCGGGACCTGAGTTGGAGACAGAGAAGCCTTTGCAGTTGGCAGCCCAGTGTGTAAGCACTATGCCACCAGGGCCCGGGGCTCCAAACACAGAGGCCACTGCATTCGAAGATGATTCACACCTGTTTGAGGAAGAGGCATCCCTCGGTGAAGATCCAGGAAGCAGACCAGGAACGGCAGCGCCCCTCTCTCTAAAAACGTCTTTAAAAACACTCAAGGGTCTTTTCAAATATCGGTTTTATTTTTCATGATCAATGTTTACCTCGGAGTCTATTCTAGGGGTCTCACGATAACGAATACAAAAATATAGATGATAGGATACAAATATTAGGTGATACAAAGTTAGTTTTCATGTTTGCTTGTTTTTAACAACAATGTTTAGGACTTGGACACTGTGACATTTCCAGACATTAAAAAACCCCACTGTGAACACATATTGAGAATCACAGGCTAAGTCCATGTGAAGGATCAGACGAATCCAAACACATCCTAGCAAGCATCCAACTTTACAAACTTCTGTACAGAACGACATCAGCACGAACATCCCCCAGTGAGAGCCACCTCTCGTGCGCGGCGTCCGGATTGTTTGTAACAGAGAAAGAGAGTCCATCTTCCCATGATCATTTTTTCTCCCACCCCACCCCACGTCTGAGCCGGTATCTTGAATAAGGCTGCCATTCCATCTGTTAGTAAACTGTTCAGTAGCTAAGGAATATCCTATTTTAAATTATACCCAGAGAAACCTTCCTCGCCTGATGTAGACTAATGACAGAGTCAGCCGGCAGAAGGCCACAGCCCAGTTGCAGTCAGGGGCTGGAGAAGCCATCCCATGAGGTGAAGCTGGGGTTTGGGCCAACAGTGGAGAAGAGGAGGGTGCTTGTACTCAGGTATAGAGTAGCGCACCCCCCACTCCCACCCCCCTACCCCGACTTCCAGGAATGATGTGTAGCCCTCCCTACTTGGCAAAACGCAGCGCCCCTGGGCATCTTGCGAACTGAAGTCATTTGGCACTAACAGAAAGACTTCTGGGTAAGACTTGGGCTTCTCTTAAGACTAACCTCAGAGGTTCTCCACTTTGACCCACACAGCAGCCCCTCCCAGCTTCAGGCCAGCCTGCTCCAAACTGCCAGAGGAACGGACTTCTCAACGGAAGCTCTGAGTGGTGGACTCGGGGACCCAGGCCAGCGCTGCCGCAGGAGACGAGGGGGAGGGAGGACGAGGCGTTCTGGCCGGGTCACTGCACAATCCCAGAGTCCACCGACGTCTGTTTGCGAGTCGTCTTTGGGGGCGGAGGTGGAGGGGTTTTGCTGGGCAGCGGGGGCGGCAGATGCTGGAAAACATGAACGTGAGGTAGACGCTTGTTACTGATGCTCATACGTGGCTCAGGAGGGGAGGGTGCTATTCAGCTCACCATCGGGATCAATGTGACCCAAGATCTGGCTGTGCGACTTGGGCAGGCCAGGGCTGCTTGCGGTGACCAAATGGGGGCTTGTTCACAGAAGTCTGCCTACCCCCCAAGGTACAACTACTGTGCTTTGCATGATGTCTTGACCAAATGGGCGATTGATCCACAGATCCTGTAGAGAGTCCTGATTAAAAGAACAATGTGGGATGGAATTTCAAATTCTCACTGACATTCTGGAGTCACTAAGGCTGTGTGAGGCCCTGAGAAAAAAACATGTGAACCAAAAATATCCCCTGAAGTCTTTACAAAACAACTGTTTAGCTTAATTGGTAGAGAAAGTCAGCCTTGGACACTGAGCTCCTTTAAAGAGTTATCTACCCTTAACAGTGAGCCCTAACCAAAGAGCAGTCAGTTCTTACAGCTCAGCCTTGAAACTTACGAGGGATCACTAAAGACATGGGTGCTATAGCCAACGGTGGTGAGGAAATCAGAGCGTGCCTGGCTATCCAAAAGAACGAATAGCGTCTGGGGTCTTTAAGGCACATCTTCAAACAAGCAGCCACGTAAGTGAGGGGCCTGAAAACTCCGCTTGGAAGAAGTACACCAGCCTGTGTGATGCAAGGATTGTGAGTAACAAATCCAAGATCAGATGATGGAATTGTACGAGAGCTGAACGTCTGAGCACTCAGTTTGCAGAAGGCCATGGATGAGAGTGAAAGCCCAAAGTCCATTTGTGGATGTCCCCTGTTGATTAAGCCGCCATTGAATTCCCTCACCATTGACCAGGGATGTGACTGGCCTTGCCCTCAGAAAAAAGTTCACTGGAAAATGGGCTAATGCAGATATAATTGGGTTACAATTTAACATCCTATCATTTGCCTTCCTTTTTAACCCATGTTTACTTTGTTCTAGTTTTCATCATTTTCTGTTTTCTTTTGGACTAAGGTTTTTATGTAAATATTTTGGTATGATTTTCTTTAGACAGAAACTAGGATAAGATAGACCGAAACTACAGAGAGGCACTGGATTTGTAGCTTCTTGGGGTTATGGCAGAGGAGGTTAGGGGTGGGATGAGCTAATTCTTATGGGTACAAGGATGGAGAACATGTTCTAAATTTGATTGTGGTGATGATTGCAACAACTCTTTTTATTATATTAAACTATTGAGTTTGTATGGTACGTGAATTACATGTCAATAAAATTGTTAATAATATAAAGAGAACTTTCTAGATGGGAAGCAGTTGGCAGCAGGACCGCCAACGGTTAGATAGGAAGCTTGAGTGGGGGCGTGAGTTCTGTTCACGGGAGAGGAGCACTTGGGAAGGCAAGGTGAAATGGCTACACAGCTTGAAGACTGTCCCCGAGGTCACAGAGCGGTAGGTGCAGAAATGGGTGAACTTCCTATGCTCTGCAGGTATACAGATTCAACAACAAAAATAAAATGAATCACCCAGAAACCGAAGACGTAACCGATCCCTAAATGTTCATCAGCAGAAACGAGCTCTCTCCATTTACGTGGATGTAGTGCTGATGCACGGTACAGAGTGATGACGTCATCAAGACTAACAAGGGTACACACACACACACACACACACACAGGCTTGTTCCAAACAAAACAGGTCAGGCAGGGCTCCGTAGTCAGTCGGTGGCTGCAGACACGTTCTCTCAGGAATACACTTATCTCTACCTTGCTTGGATCTCCAATCAATGCTCAGAGAAGCAGCAGTCAAGAGATCAAAAGATGAGCTGCATTCGAGAAATCTGCTGCACAAGACCTCTTTAGAGTGTTGAAAAGCAAGGAGGTTATTTTGAGGACTAAGGCGTGCCTGTCCATGGAAAGGTGGACACTGACTAGAGAAGACTGGAGCTCACTGGGCACATCGGAATCCTGGTGCTGGAGAAGCATACTGAAAGGGCCATGGTCTGCTCAAAGGACCAACCGGTCTGTCTTGGAAGAAGTATGGCCAGGGTGCTCCTTGGAAACAAGGATGGCAGGACTTTTTCTTACGTACGGAGGACATGTTGTCAGGAGAGACCAGTCCCTAGAGAAGGACATCACGCTTGGTAAAGTGGAGGTGTAGTGGGACGGAGGAAGACCCTCAATGGGCTGCATCAAGGGACTCAAATGCGGCAAAGGTTGTGAGGCTGATGCAGGACCAGGTAGGGTTTTGTTGGGTGTGCACAGGGTCACCATGGGTCAGAACTGACTGATGACATCTAACAATGACAATCGCAGTCTCCTTAAGGTGCCAACAAAATGCAGGGCCAATCAGAGTAGTAGCTTTCCAGGGCATCTGCTGGGTCAGTTCATTTAAGACCAGAGTATTCAGCTCAGAAGACTATGGTAACATGTTGGGGTGGAAGGTGATTCCCTAACGGGCCATCTTGATAAGACTCTCCCCAAGAACACAGGGCAATCCTGGGGCTTTTTATGAAGAAGTGTGGGGAAAGTTGAAAACGGCACCAGGGAGAAGATGCCAGGAAGGTTGCACCAAGGAGTCTTTCCCACCAGACAGGGCATCACCTGCTCATTCGTGGAGGGTCCTAAGCTTTCCTGGGAGACTTTCATTGGGAAACCTGATACCATCCATGCTGCAGCCCGGACCTGGCCCCTTCAGACTTCTCCACACACTCAAACTACATGGGAAGGAACACAGTCTGAGCCCCTGAGATTCTCCAACCGCTGCTTGGCGGGACGAGGCATGGAGAGTGCAGGCGTCTCCAGGGAAGGTTGGAGAGGGGGAGGCGCCACCGTCAGAAGTGCGGAGACCTGGACGGCGGAGAAGCAATAGCTTCATGCTTTGCTTTCGCTGTGGATTAAGAGTCTCTGTGGTTGGAAAGAGGGAACCGATGACAAGGATCTACTTATAACCTCCTTCCTGGGGGACGGACAACAGAAAAGACATCGGGCAGTGTAAGATATGGCAATAGGGACAGCAGTGTAAGATGGACAACAGGGAGGCGTCGGACAGTGTAAGATGTGACAAAACAATAATAATTTATAAATTATCAAGGGTTCATGAGGGAGGGGGAAGTGGAGAGGGAGGGGAAATGTGAGGAGCTAATACCAAGGACTCAAGCAGAAAGCAAATGTTTTGAGAATGATGATGGCAACAAATGTACACATGTGCTTGACACAATGGCTGGCTGGCTGGCTGGATTGTGATATGAGTTGTATGAGCCCCCAATAAAATGATAAAAAAAAAGTCTCTGTGATTTTGCAGCAAAGCTGTTTGACTTATCCCAGTGTGTATGCCAAGTCCAACAGGCCCTGGGAGCCAGGAATACATACTGTGAAAGCCCCTGGTATGAGTCTCCCAAACCAAGCCAGGCCAAGCCAAGCCAGGCCAAGCCAAGCCAAGCCAAGCCCAAAGTCATGCCATTGAGTTGGCTTAGATACACAGGTCAGAGTGCACTTCCAAGACAGCAACTCTTTAGGGGAACAGAAAGCCTCATCTTTCTCCTGAGGAGCGGCTGGTGGGTTCAAACGGCTGATCTTGCAGATAGCAGGCCCACATGTAACCCACTACGCCATCGGGGCCTCGAAGAGATTTCCAGATGGGCAAACCCACAGAGCAGAAAGCAAATAGGGAGGCACCAGGGAAGGGGTGTGGGGGGTGGAAGGGCGTAGCTTGCTTGGTATGCAGGGTTTTCTCTGGTGCGGCGGGATTGGTGCAGCCCTGTGAACATGCTAACTGCTGCCAAACTCTCCACTTCCAAGCAGTTAAAATGATGAATTTCAAGCTAGATGCGTATCCCCCGTGTAAAAACAGAGCGCTGTGATTGATCGTTCGTCTCTGGAACCTGGCTGGCTTCCGAATCAGACAGTTCAAACGATTGGGATCAGAGGGAACCCACCCCAGGGATGGCAGCCCCTGCACCACCCCCCACCCCCCACTGCCCTCTGAGCCAGAACAGACCGAACAAGGAGGCTGGGGGAGGGAGGGTGGTGCCCAAGATGGAACAGTGGAGGGGTGTGGGGGTGGGTGGGGCAGAGACGAGAAATTTGACTTGGGGTGCAGAGCCAGCAGGCTCCTCAGAGGCAAGGATGGCGAGACTTAGTCTCGAGCACTTTGGACATGGTGTCAGGAGAGACCAGTCCCCGGAGAAGGACATCGTGCAGGAAGAGTGGAGGGACAGCGGGAAAAGAAGAAGCCCCTCCACGAGATGGGTTGGCACAGTGACTGCACACAATTGCAGGCTTGAACAGAAGGACCACTGCGAGGGTGCAGCCCTGGAGACAGACCCAGGCCGAGCAGAGGAGCCGGGGACCCTCAATGAGGTGGCTTGGCTGCATTAAAGAGCAATAACCGTGAAGATGGTGCGGGACTGGGCAGTGCTTATTCTGCGCCTCTCTCTCTCTCTCTCTCTCTCTCTCTCTCTCTCTCTCTCTCTCGGTAACCGCTGGACGGCACTAGGTGACAACAGCGTGGAAAGCCAGAGAGGATATTGGGGAAGCCTTATCTGGAACTTGGTGGACCAGCTGAGGGTCGGAAGGAAGCTACCAGACTCCCTGTATCCAGCCAGCTGCCCAGCGTGGGCAGTTGTGGGAGGGAGTTACGTGGAGGGCCCCCACTCCGTGCTCATCTGAACCCCCTGAAGTGACCCTACTGCCAGACATGCAGCTGGAAGGAGTGGAGGGTCTGGAGGTGAAGTCATACTAGGTCTAGGGTGCCCCCGGGGCTTGTACAATGATGGGTGTCCAGAGGGGAGGGAGGGAGGGGGAGGAGAGGAGTTGAGCAGCGAGTGTCGGGTCACCAGTGCAGGCTGGGGGAAGCACCACAGCTGTAAGACAGACAGGAGGCCGTGTCTTGCTTGGAGCTTCTAGAGGGCACTGGCCTTTCCAACGCCTTGGCTTTTGACTTGACTCCCCAGAGCCCGAGATAACAATGTTTTCTTGTTTTAAGCCGAGAAACAACAACAATAGCAATACCATGGACCTCCCTCGCATAATGGAGCTTGTGGGGACGCTGGGGGAGAGATGGGGTGACCAGAAGCTGCGGTGTGGAGGCGGGGCTCTCTGGGGTCAGAAGGGGCAGGGCAGGAAACTCCAACAGAGGCGAGGAGGCCACCGGAACGGAAGGCTCTAACCGTGGCTCACACGTTGTCACGTGACATTCCGGACGTTTATCAAGCCATGCTGTGGCCTCTGCCCTAATTCGGGAGGATGCCTTCCCATCTGCTTGCTCTACGAAAACTGCTGCAGGGCTTGCTCTCGAGGAGAGCAGTGGCCCCACTGTGCGCTGGGCTTAGCACTGGTAGGTGTTCTGCTGCCCCCAGGACACTGAGGAATCAGGGCCCAGGGTGGCAGGTAACCTGCTCATGGTCCCACGTGTGGGTCAGAGCAGCCGGGCCAGGACTCCAGACTGTGCCCTGATGTTCCAGGGGTCGAGGTCTGGGCCTTCCACGCAGGAGATCTGGGCATGTTCCTGGCCCACCCGCAGTCACCACCTGCCTGCCAGTGGGGGCAGGTGTGTTGCTGTGATTCTGAACAGGTTCTGGGGAGGCTTCCAGGAGAAAATGGGCTAAGAAGCGAGGTCTGGTGGTCGCATTCTGAGAACGCAGCCGCGAGACCCACACCGATGGCGAGAGTCTGACCCACAGCCTGTCCGCGGGCGGCAGGGGCTGGGCGGCATTTCACTCCCCTGTGCTCCGGGTTGCCGAGAGTGGGCTGACATGCTGGCAGCCAACCACAAGGACAGGGGGCCACAGGACAAGGGAACCATAGGTCTGCCCAAGCCGGGCGCCTTCGTGTCCCCAGCAGGGGTGGACTCACTGGGCGCGGGGGCTCAGGTGTTGGCCTATGTAGCAGCCCGAGCACAAGCCCAAGGCACTGACCAATTTCTACAGGGTCCCTCAAAAGACATTATCTGCCCGAAATGAGTCCTAATAACCTGTGCCCGGGGCGGGGTGGGGGCAGGGGAGATGAGGTGCTGGGCCCTCAGTAGGAAGACCTTTCACCCTCCACCGTTGGTGCTACCAGGTGTGTGTGTGGTGGTGGGGGCAGGGGGAGTGGGGGGGGCTTTACACTGTACATGTGCACACATCTCTGTTTCAGTTTTACCAATGAGTGAACGATGCAACGGGACACAGGCCCACCAGCGAGGAAGGACCCGAAGCCAGGAAGCTCACGGGTGCTCCCGTCCCCTGAGGATCAGGTGCTGTTAACGGGTCTTCAGAGAAGAAGTGAACTAAAAATGGGCACCTGTTTTTTCAGTTGGGGAGCGTTGCATTTTCAAGTCAATTTGGGAAGATTGCTAAATGAAACAGAATAGAACCACGCTCAGAAGGGCCCCGGCTTAGGAAGGCCCGGGATGGCAGGGGCCGGACCAGGATGTGGGGGGCTCACTCAGGCCGGGGTGGGAAGCTGGGCTTGGGCTGAGTTTCGGGGCAGGCCGAGCAGGCCACCACCCCTGTCTGAGCAGCGGTGTCCCCTCCTTGGGCTGGGATCCCTTTCACAGCCCAGACCCGCACAGACCCGAGGCCCAGTGGAATTGGCTCCCCTTCTACTCCCTGTGTGTCGATGGGTGGCATCCTCGCCCGCCAACCTTCTGGCATTGTCCGCAGCTATTACAGTCTGGACTGTAATGGGAGAAAGACGGGGCTTTCTACTTCCAGTCTCGGACACCCACGGGGACAGTCCTACCCTGTCCTCTAGGGCCACTCTGATTTGGGCTCGACTTGATGGCCGTGGGTGGGTGGTCTTTGCTCTACGAGAGTTTGAAGTGCCCTGGGAGTGACCAAGATGGGACGCAGAGAGGAAGTGGGCACGCGCAGCTGGGAGCTTGTCACCAGCGCAGTGCGAGCGCCGGGAGAGGGCGGCCGGGGCGCAGTGACAGCGAGACCCGGGGGATGGGCAGCCCCGGCAGGTGAGACGGAGACCTTCCTCGGAGGCTCAGTTGGCTCTGTGTGAGGAAGGAAGGCTGCAAGGACAGGAGTGTGACGCACTTGTCTCTTACCCGTTACTCCAAGTCCCCTGACTCACCGAGAAGTGACGCCAGCAGAGCCTTCTGCTCAGCTCACCGCACACAAGCAGCAGCAGCGGGGAGGGGGGAGCAGGAGCAACACCCGGTGCTTCAGCATCACCGAGGGGCACCATGGGAAGAGGACTCACTGATGGCTCTCACCATTGTCGGGGCTGGGGACCAACTCCGGCGTCAAGGCCTGACGACTGGTTTGCTTACAGGGGCAGGCTGATCAGGGGTGGGCCATGGAGGACCAGGAGACAGTCACATGACAGCAACATTGAACAGCAGGTGTCCCCAGTGCTAAACACAAGGGTGCCAGCACCTTCTTAGTCAGCACAGCGGCAGCCCAGGGGACTAGTCTGAAAAGCCATTTTCCAAGAGATGGCAGCTGGGAAACCTGGGCCATCAGAGGGGGACAGTAGGATACTGGTTACTGGCCCATCGGGTGGGTGGGGACAGGAAGACACTGGTCACCCCCATGGCAGACAAACGGTCACCAGCCTAAATTAGCCCCCAGGGGCTGGACAAGGGATGCGCCCAGGTGCCTCCTCCCTGGCCCTTGGCCCTTGGCCACCCTCAACCAGGTCCACAGGCAGGGTCCTTGGGGGAAGGGTCACACAGCAGCCTGGGGAGCCAGGAGAGGGCATGTGGTGAGGCTGGCGAAAGGCGCTAGCAGCCGGACCTGGCTTCATGGCTTTTTAAAACGTCCTGACGTCTTCACTGGGAGGGCTCCGTGGAGGCCTAGGCTGGTGTACGCATTGAGTAGGTAAAGAAGCCAAACAGGATTTCCCAGGGTGGTGAGGGGGCAGGGAGAGGTGGGGGGCAGCTTTGGAGACGGAGAAAGGGAGAAAAAAAACAAGACAAACAAACAAAAACACAGTGGCCTCACAGTCAATCCTGACTCTCGGTGGTCCACTGTCTCCAAGTAGGACTTTGCTCTGCTGGATTTAATGCCTGGTTGGGGGGCAGTAGATCACCAGGCACCTCTGCTTGGCCTAGAACTTCCAGCCTTTTGGTTGGCACCCCCCAAAGAAGGAGATTACGGTAAGGAAGGTGAGGGTGGCAGCTCACACAGCTGGGGAGGCCTGAGGGCAGCTGGGGAGGTCTTGGGTCCCAAATGAGGCTCCCTCTCTGCAGGCTGTCTGTGGAGTGGCCAGGACTGCAGGCTCCAGGATGATGGCAGTATATCAGGGCAGAGATGGCACTGGATAGGCCCACGAACCCCTCTACTGAGTGATGACTTAAACCCACTGGCTCCAGGCCAGGCCAACCTCAGCTCATAAAAGTCCCCTCTCAAAGTCACAGCTGCATGACACTCCCTAATTCCCTACTTCCCGAATGGGATGGTGTGGTAGTTACATAATCTGATGTCAATTTGAGGATTAAGAATGTAGGGGTGGAGTCTAGCCTGTCAATCAGGAGACAGCCAATGAGGATTCATGGAACTCTTGTATTCCTCCTTGGAGGTGGGAGTCTCTCTCTCTCTCTCTTTCTCTCTCGGCTCACTCCCTATGAGACATTTCTGAAGAGAAGCCACATGGACCTACCCGGATGCATCCAGAACCCTGGGAGCTGGAGAAGCCATGTGGAGACCCCTGCCAGTGTTGAGATGCTCACAACGCCACTGGATCCACAAGACTTCCCACCCACTGGCCTGGGATCTTTCTGCATTCGACATCATTGCATGTGTTTCGTGAGTCTGAAGAGGACTTTTGAAGGAGCCATGAGAGGTGGGCTGTGTCTCGTGTCCTATATCTGTCTAGGACAGTGCCCAAACGCCTGTCCTAGCTGGTTCTCATAAACTGCTTCCTTACTGCAAATGGTAAGGAATCTGGGGGAGCAACTGCAAACAGTGTTCCCTGGTGGAAAGTAAACAGGACCGGTACGAGCTGAGATAGGGAACTCACTCTCAAGGCTATGAGAAATTCAAGCATGGGAATAGCAGACTTATCTGGGAACACTGCCAGTATTAGTACTGAAAAGTAAAGCACTGCAGTCCACCAAGGCTGCAGTTTGTACCGCCTATGTCTGTGTCTATTTTGTGCTGCAGTCCTGTATTGTCTGTGTGTGTGTGTGTGTCTGTTTGGTTCTTTGTTCATTCTCCCTGCTCAAGAAACCGCAGCATCAACTTTATAAATTGGTATTGGACACATGGGCTGATATCGGACTGGTGGACTTGATCTGGACTGGGCTGTGATGTTTTCACAAGATTCAGCTGCTCTTGTAGATAAAGCTCTTTCTGTAATGTGTGTCTATGAATTTGTTTCTCTAGTCTACCTGGACTAACACGGACAGTCTATATGGTAATGGCAGGCTGTGTGAGTGGAAGGCAGGCCATCCTCGGATGGAGATGCTGTTCGGTATGACAATGGCATAGACCACACCTCTGGGACAGCAGGGACCAGCACCAAGTCCCAGCCAGCCCCTATATGGGTCTCACCAGCTCACAGCAGGAGGGACCAACATGAATTATGCAGTGCTGCTTGGCTGCTGGTGGAGGGGGCACAGGGGCTTCTCCTGGTAAGGGGAAAGGTATCAGAGACCCTATACTCACCCTCTGGTGTGGGGGAGGGGGCGGAGGCGTCAGCGAGCCTGAGTCCGGGCTTTCCATCACGTTCCCATAATCAGCCATGCCGCCCTTGAGAGGCAGTGGGGGAGGGACACTGGCCACGTCCATGGCGGCCATGCCATTCAGCTCCAAACCTGGAAAATCACAGTGACATCCTGACTGAGCCCGGGTGGACACATGGAAGCCCCTCCTTCCCTCCGAGGGAAGCAGAGGAAGCCAGGATGTGCATCCATGGGGGGAAGAGGGTTGGGAACTCAACTTGGGCGTACCTCCTGGCAGCCACGTTCCAGTGGGAGAACACCAGATACCACTATGAAGCTTCTAAACTTCAGAGTTCCTGATGCAGCACCATGTCAAGATCCCCGAGCCCCAGGACCCCCCGCCCCCTGGAGCCATGGCATTGCATGGCCACTGCAGCTGCCATTCTAAAGTCCAGCCTGACCCTGCATGTGCAGGCTCCTATGATTCTTGCTCAGAGAGCAGAGGGGAGTGGAGGGTGTGGTGTGGTGGCTGGCCTCCCTTCCAGGGGGACCTGGCCGGTGTGAAGTGGAGCTATCAGCAGGAGCGACCACGGGCTGTGCCTGTGGACGCCATGGGGACATGCAATTTCCCCAACAGAGAGGTGGAGCCCCATAAAGACACAGCACTTCCCTGACCCCTGCCGGGTCGGTCCTTTGGAGCTGCTGGGTTGTCTTTGATATCAAAGATGGAAAGGCTGACCTTCAGCGCGTTCTCCAAAGACCTTGCAGATGAAAAGAATTCCTTATCATCCCAACAGATTTCCTCTCTGCCAAGGACAGCCATCCCCTGCCTGTCTTCCCAGCCCCTCCCCACAGCCTGGGGTTTTCTTCTCTGCAGCCAGTGGGCGCACCCTCGGTTCTGCACCGACTTCACCACCCAACCACTGCTCCTGCCAGGATTCCTGTTCATCGGCCAGGAAGTACGGAGACTGGAAAGAACGGAAACCAGAGAGGTTGTGGTCATTACATCATCTGGTGTCAATTTGGGACTTGTGAGGATTAATAGTGAAGGGGTGGAGTCTAGTGTGTCAGTCAGGTCATAGCCAATAAGGCCTCTGTGTGGGCGTGGCCTTCTCCTGAGGATTCTGGGAAATCCTGTTTATCTTCCTTGGAGGCGGGAGACATCTCTCGCTCTCTAACACTGGCTGGGAGACATTGCGGCTGACAAGACACATGGAATTACACTAATGCCCTGAACTGGACCTAAAGCCACATGGACCTATCTACACTGATGCGACCAGACCTCGGAAGCTGGAGAAGCCACATAGAAACCCCTGCCAGCGCTGAGATGCTTACAATCCCACTGGATCCAAAGACATTCTACCCACTGGCTGGGGATCATCCTGCATTCAGTGTCATTGCATGTGTTTCATGAGTCTGAAGAGGACTTTATAGATTGGTATCGGGCATGTGGGCTAATATCGGACTTACGGACTTGATCTGGACTGGGCTGGGATGTTTTCTCAATGTTCAATGGCTCTTGTGTATAAAGCTCTTTCCTATATGCTTATGAGTCTCCCTGGATTTGTTTAACACAGAGGTGGTTCTGACTCAGAATGGAAGGCTGTTGGTTTGGGGTTACTGTTGGTTTGGGGTTAATGCTTGTGGTGGGTTGGACAGTGGCCCCACCTTCAAGTTCATGTCCACTGGGAAACTCAGAGCTGGCCTTATCTGGAAGCAGGGTTTTGACAGATGCAATCAATTCAGAACTGTGGGGGTCTCGATGCTGAAACTGCTGCCCATAGGAGGGCTGGGTACAGAGATGTGTGGGAGAAGGCTGTGGGCCCAGGGACACAGAGTGGGGCTGATGTGTCCACAGGACAAGAAGCGCCTAGGGTCACCATGTTGACCACAGGCAAGGAGGGAGGTGTGGCCACACCCCTCCCTGAAGCCTGGGCAAGGAACCAGCCCTCCTGAGAGATAGATGTCAGATTCCCGGCTCTAAGGCAGAGAGAAAATACCATTCCAATTTGTAGGACCCTTGACAGGTTGCACAACCAGGAGAGGAGGCCACAGCCCTGGGTGGGCAGTGCTTCCGCCTGGCTTTTCTCTTAGGAGAGGAGGGTGGCTGTGTGGGCTGCCCTTCAAGTCTCCTTCATAGGGTCTGGGAGGTCTGTGAGGGTGGGGGTGGAGAGCTGAGCACGCAGGCTGGCTTGGTCCAGATCTGCTGGAGTCCAGCCCCTGTTAAGGCAGGCACTTATCCAAGCCCACTCCCAGGCCACCCAGAATGGAAGCAGTTCTAACTTTAGCACCTCGGGCCGAGTGGATGCCCAGGCACTGGTGACTGGGACGGACGTTGCCCTACTTACTGGACTGCAGGCTGAAGCTGAGCTTGGCCCGAGGCGTGACCGGAGGGGGCGTCTGCTGTGAGGCTGGTGGGGACGGGGACACAGAGAAACGTCGCTCACCCGCCATGGTGTTGATGACCTGGCTCTTGGGTCTCTGGGGCCGCAGGGGGCTGATCTGTAGGGTGGGTGGGGGGCGGAAAGACAAGGCCTGGGTCTCCCATGTCCCTCTTCCTCCCCCATACTGGGCTGGTATAAAGAGCTTTGTGAGCACCCTCTCCCTCCCCCCAGCCACTCCAATCCCTTCCTATGAAGGATCCGAACTGCTGGAAGGAATCAGAACTAGGAGAGGCTCAGCCAGAGGTCAGGGGATCATCTAGGATACTGGTCAAGTTCAAAAGCACACTCCAAGACTCTGGGGGAACCTCGCCAGGAGCTGCTGGAGGCCAGAGGGAGGGAAGAACCATTGTTCTTGGCATTTACTGAGGCCATGAACCACTGCACTGAGGCCCAGGGGGCTCGGCTGGTGACAGGCAGAACCAGGGGCTCTGCAGCATCTGGGGATGCAAGGGCAGGGACAAGGGGGACTCTGCGCATCCAGTTATTCCTTTATAGCCAGTTCACCAGGACCCAAAGGACAGCCCTCTGGTAGTCAGTGGTGACACAGAGTGAGGGCACAAACCAGGCCCACTGCTTAGAGTCGATGCCGACCGACAGAGACGCGACAGGGCAGGGCAGAACTGCCTTCTGGGGTTCTCAAGGCTATTCATCACTCTGCGAGCAGACGGCCCCATCTTCACATCTTTCTCCTGTGGAGTGGCTGGTAGGATCAGCCTGCTGACCTTCTGGTGAGCAGCCAAGTACTTCCTGCTGCTCCCCTAGGGCTCCTTGGTGAGGGACCCCAAGACCCCACCCCTGTGGCGCTGATCCTGACTCACAGTGGCCCCACAGGGCAGAGTAGCACTCCCCACTGGGTTTCCCAGGCTGCCCTCTTGCCCAGACCGGGCGGGCCTGGTCCTGCGAGCGAGCTCACTCACTCACCGTTTCTGAGAGAATCACTGCCTCGGACCGCTGCAGGGGAGTGTCAGCTGGCTTGAAGTCCTTGTCAAATGCCTCCTGGTGCTTGCTAGTCCTCTTTTCCTTCTTCTTGTCCTTCTTCTCCTTGTCCGCATCCTCCTTGTCTAGCTTGTCCTGGGACCGGGACTGCATTTTCTTTGGCAGGAGAGGCTCCAGAACAAACCTAAGGCAAAGGTTTCTTTGAACCCGGGGCGTCCTCCCAGGCGGCTAGTGACCTAAAGTGACTCACAATGAGTCTACCGGCTGAGGGGCCAGTGGGGCTCTCCAAGGAGAGGAGGCATTTAAAAGGGGAGCAGAGAGAAGCGGAAGGAACACGCTCACCAGCTGTCATGGACAGGCTATGTTTGGAGAAAGAAGGTTACCACGATGAAGCATTCGGATCAGAAATATAACACAAGATCCTTGATCAAAAGGGGGGGAATGTAGAACAGCATTTCCAATTCTCACGGACTGTAGACTCTCCCAAGCTCCTGGAGGCTGCGTGAGCTACTGACTTGAGATCCTCTCTAAACCTAACCCCACACAGACCCCTGACGTCTTCTGAGAACAAAGCCACAGTGCGACTCCATCAGGGGACACAGTCTGTCTCAAGCATCACACTCTTGTAAGAGCAATCGGAATGGGGTCAAACGGACACCCGCAGCTCCCGGCATGGGTGACCAACAGTGGCTGACACCACCAAAAAGGGGACAGCTGGACGTGAGTGCTTCTTCATGGGAGTACGCACGGTCATCTACGATGGCGCCTTGCCTCTAGACCCGACCACTGAGGACAGAAACACGCCAAGCACGGCCATGGAGGCTGAAGTCTACGGCCCCGGACTGCAGGAAACTCCGCAGGCACGCCACTCAGCCGGGCCAGCCAGCACAATGCAGGCTCCGCATGGACGGGCAGCAGGGAAGGGGCTGCGCTGATGGAAACAGACATGACGAGCTAGCCCGGCCAATCCCGTGAGGGATCCCATTCCAATCAAACCGCAAAGTTCATGGAAGAGTAGGCAGAAGTGATAATGGAATTTGTCCAGCATTTGACTTTTTGATGTCCCCTTGTGCCCCCCCTAAAAAAAAAACACCCTCAAAGAAACACTTGTGTGCAAGTGTTCATCGCTCACAGAAGCCAAAAGGTGGAACCAAACAAGTGTGCACCATCCAGCGGACGGAGAACTCAGAGGCGCTCAGCCCTGCGGCGGAAGGTGACCAGGCCCACCAAGTCTTCAGGAAGCCCTGACACAAGCCACCACAGGGCTCGCTCTCGCTCTCTCTCTTGCTCTCTGTCTCTCTGTCACTCCCTCGCATGGCCACCGAGTTGTTTCCGGCTCATAGCGACCCCGTGGGGCAGGGCAGAACCACCAGAGTGGGCTTCTGAGTCTATAAACCTGTACGAAGAGCAGAAAGCCTAGTCTCCCTCCCCCCTCATGGGCACACCTTGAAAACAGTACAGGGAGCACTGTGAGTCAGACACACAAGGGCAACCCTGCCTGGCCCCCACGGGCAGCATCCTGCGTCGGTGACCACGCAGCAACAGGAATCAACCTCGGCTAGGGCTGCCTGACTGGGACGCAGCCCTGTGGGGATGGTTGTGGTGGGTGGCCCAACGGTGTGAATGGGCTGAACTTCACCGGCCTGCGCACTCGGGACAGCCGATGGCAAACTGTATGTCACCTCTATTTAGGGACAAGGAACGTTGTTTCAAAGGGTGGAGGTTGCCTACCCTGGTAAAGTTAACACAGAGGAGCCTCAAAAGGATCCTGAAAGTAACACGGGGGCCCCTCGCAGGGTCATTAGTCTCAGAGGGTCTCTGTTTCAACGATCATCCCGATGTAAAAAATCAGAATCAAGGGTAGGGTGCTGGGTGACCCACCATCCCTCCTCCCCAGGTGACCCTCCACCCCCCAGGTCCCCGTGCCCTCTGCGGCTGCACCCGACTCACGCATCAGAGCCCGGCCGTGAAGGGGCGCTGTCGGATGACAGGGAGGACACGGAGGCTACGGACAGCGGCCGGGACGATGAGGGCATGGTGAAGGAGCGGACCATGGACCGTGGACGGCTGCCTCTCCTGTCGTCCAGACTCGAGGGCTGAAGGGGAGGGAGACAGACAGAAAGACAGACAAACAGAGGTAGGGAGAGAGCCAGAGCCAGAGAGAGAGAACAAGTAAAAGAGAGACATAGAGGGAGAATGACAGACAGACATGGATGGAAGGATGGAAGGAAACCGTGAAAGAGAGAACGAGGGCGCAAGCCGAGACAAAGCAGGTCAGAGAAGAGGGGGCGGGTGTACAGACAGACAGACACACAGAGGGAGGGAGACAGTGAAGGAGAAAGAGAGATGAGAGAAAGGCTGTTGAATGCATCCGACGATGACCTGGGGCCGACAAAGCCCACTCGCCGCCCGATGGCCTCGGCAGTGTGGACCCTCGGTCGCCATGGTTTGCACTTGTACAGCCAGTGCACGTTCTTGTTCAGAGCAGGTGACAAAAACCGCGATGGCCCCAGGCTCCCCTGAAACCTGACTAGGTTGGCGCAAACAGGGCCCCCTTTGGGTCATTTTGACTTCTGAGCTGCTTTCTTGATCAAGACCGCGGTGGCTACATGTCTTCCTGCTTTAGAACCAGGGGACCGTGGGGGGCAGTGGGAGCTCTGCCGGCCTGCATGCATGTGTCCACAGGAGAGCTGCTGCTGGTGCTACGTGGCTGAAAGTATCTTTCCTCCCCTGGACTAGCCTTGCCTGAAAGCTCCACCTCCCAGTCATTGGGTTGATTCTGACTCACAGCCACCCTGTAGGACAGGGTAGAACGGTCTGTGTAGGTTTCTGAGACTGTAAGCCTTTGTGGGAGCAGGAAGCCAGCGAGACAGGATCAGCTCCCACTGGGCCCTGTGGAAGGGGGTCAGAGACAGGAGCAAGTTTGGGGCTGGCGTGTGGGAGCTGTGGGGTAAGTCCAGCCCTGGAGGGGAGACTGAGGCCTGGTGCTGGCCAGGGTGGGCTCAGGAGGACGGGGGCACATTCTGGGTGGAGTGTGCTGGGCTGTGGAGCTCGAGGGTCCCCCTGGAAGGCTGTTCAGACGTGAACAGAGCACTGAGCACAGGGGGATCACCAGGAGATGGCCTGCAGTGGGCAGGTCCCGTGAAGAAAGAGGAGGATGAAGGAGCTGATAAGAGATATAGAGCCCCACCCAGAAGCTTTAAGATCCAAGCTGTCACTCAGAGCCAAGACCAGCCTCCGCGACAGTTTCTGAGCCTATTGGTGCTCCAGGTATCCCAAGGGCCCTCCCTTCCCTGCTCTCAGGACCCCAAGAGGCTGGGCTACTGCATTCTGGGCCAGGGCAGGCTGGTTCCAGAGCCAGGCCTGGTGCGGACCCCACGGGCAGCTGGAGAGCCGGGACCAATGGACCACGGAGCTTTAGGGTCACACAGTAGCCCTCGCTCTCAATGGCTTAGGCTGGCTTCCCTTGTAACAAATGGTTTATAGCCGGTCAATGGACTTTTTATCTTTAAATCCATCCTTCCGAATGGGGAGGATGCTGGATTGCTGAGGGGCCTCAGGTTCCCCAGCACCAGAGAACAGGGCAGCTCATCTCTAGCTACTTTTTACAGTCACTGCTCTTGGGCACTGATGGGACCCCGGCTGGCCCCTGCCCTGCTCCCAGGAGTCTGCCACTGCGGCTGTCAGCAGGGCCCCAGTGAAGGGGGACTGAAGAGGCTGCTAAAGGGAGCTGGAAGATTCACACCCAATTCTGACCCCAGTCATGCTCACAGTGAGAGTGGCCAACCCCTTCTGGGGTGCCCTGGCTGTCCTTCCAGAGAAGGGAGTTTGCAGGATGTGATGGTGGTGTTAGGTAGCAAGATAGGGGTTGTTCCTCTCCATGCCTAGGGGCTCCCTACAGGAAGCTGGAAGCCTAAGGGCTCAGGCCCTTGAGCTGGGGGGAGAGGGTATAACACCTGGATTGCCCAATCTAGGCCAGGTGGGCTTAATTCAACCAATAGGGTCAACCAGTACGGCTGGCCACGCCTCCCAGTTGCAGGCCAGAACCAGGCGCCCACCCTCTCTTTCCCCGCTTCTTTTCTGCCTTCCGTGTGGCTGTGCCTGTGGTCTCTCCCTGTTCTCTGGCCTCAGGTCACCACGTGTGGGTGTGTAGTCCCACGAGGTTGCCTGTGCTTTTAACTGTAAAACCTGAAACTTCCTCCATCCTTTATAAAAACTCACTTGGATCACGAACCAGGCTTCGGCGTGAACTTCTTTCTTGTGGGAAGCCAAGAATCGAGGTATTTCCCACCCGAGGGCTCTAACAGCGGCTGGGGGCAGCTTCCTTGGGGCAGGGGGCAGGGAGGCACCAGAACTTGGGTAGGGACACTCCGCCTGGACCCGTGGCTGTGTCCCAACCCCTGCGGCCAGCAGCAGGCCTCTGGAAGCCGAGAGCCCGGCACGAGGAAGATGGGAAAGATCGGGCAAACAGGCCAGGGGGCTGCAATCTGGAAGAAGCCTTTAGTTGGCTGAGGACCTAAGAAAACTCCCATCACGCCTGTGTGGATTTCTTAGAAAACAGGAACAGTGGCCTCAGACTTTGCCGGTGATGAGATGCCAGTGCTCACAGCCTCTTGCTGGACCTCCACTCTGATTGCGAGGGCTGTGACTTGCAGCGAGGGCCCTCCCGGGGGCCGGCAGGTGGGGTGGGGTTGGGGTACTCTGACTGCCAAGCCAGCTCACCTGGAGCAGCCCACTGTGGGGCTGGGTAGGGGTGAGGGGCTCCCGTCCCAGAGCTGTCAGAGCTGGCTGGGGGACCCAGTGACACCCTCACTGATGAACAAACGCCAGGTCCTGGGGGCGCCGAGGAGCCCCCTCAATGAGGGTCCCTGAGGTCTTGGAAGAAGCTGTGCTGTGCAGAGGCACAAAACTGCAGCTGGATGCCCAGGCCCTGGCAGTGCCACCCATGCAGGGCCTGATGGGTGTATCAGAGCTTAACTTCTGAGCACCCAGTTTGCAAAAGGCTACGGATGGCAGTGGCAGCCCCAAACCCATTTGCGGGGTCCCCAAAGAGATTAAGCCTCCACTGACGTCTGATCAGAAACCCAGGATGTGGATAATCTTGCCCTCTGGCAGAGCACCTTGGGAATTGGGCTTCCTCTACCTATCTGAGGCCAGCCCAGGGAGGGGAAGTTCCTCCAGGGCTTGTCTAGGCATGTCCTCAATGGAGGTCACTTCATCAGTAAGTGGGGAGGGGAGTCACATAGTCCTGAGCCATGCCCTATCCACCTCGTCCTAACCGCCTTGGTCCAAGGACCCTGGATCAATCTTGTGAGGCCTTCGAAAAACGTGTGTTCCAATCATGGCCCGTTCCTGTTTCTGTAGGTAGTCCCAGCTGTCACCGTGATGTCCTGATCTGCCACCAATCATGCTTTTGTGACAGTTTCCTCCGTCTGCCCAGGCCCTCTTTGAAAAGCGTTGTATCTTATGAACCCTTGGGTGCCATTTGCCCCCCTGCTAACAGCCTCCCTCATCCGGAGCACGTGGCTGCATCTTTGCCTCTTGAAAGACTTCATACATGTTCTCCTTACAGTCTACTTGAGATGGGGTGTCCTTTGTCCTCTAATGCACTGGAACGAGGGTCTCTGCAGATAATCTGGTTGAGTAAGGTCACCTGGATTAGGGTGGGCCCTGAAAGCCCAGGACTGGTGCCCAGAGAAATAGACCGAGAGAAGGAAGGCCACGTGGAGACGTGGGCAGCGATCAGCTGGAGCGCTGCGGAGTCGGGGAGCCCCGGAAGCACCAGAGTTCGCAGGGGAGCCCAGGGGTCTTCCCAGGGTCTTCCAATGGGAAGCAGTCCTGCAGACACTTAGTCCCGGACTCGCGGCCACAGCACTGCGACAATACCCGCCTGATGTTTTCAGCCACGTGCTGGGTTCTGGCAGCCCTCGGGCCAGTGCTGCACCTGCCCAAGCTCCTCCCAGCGACTTCCCTTCTACCTCTGGTGCCCCCACTCAGCCAGAGCCCACCCTCGCCCAGGAAGAGCCCTCCCAACTCCCTGCCCTGGTCTGGCCCCATTTTCTTTCTTCTTGAGCCGGGTCTTTGCAAACCATTTCAAACCGCAGTCACCCACCATGCCCACCCTGCAATGGCCTGTGATCTGGGTCAGCTTGGGTCACGCTGCATGCAATTGCCCCGTGTGTGGTCTTTGTAAACCTGCCCAGATGTGTCCACCACCAGTAAGTGGGCATTTGCCAATCAAGCCCATTCCCGGAGGACTTTTCATCCTGACGCTTCCCTTGGCTGGAAGCAGACTGCTGCGGGATAGACTATTCCAGGTGCCTGAGGGCCTTGAAGCCCACCCGTCTCAGCAGGCTTCCAGCCTTGTCTTCGCACCTGTCTGGGGACATGCCCCCCACGCCCCTGCCTGGGAGGCAGCCCCACTCACCATGGTGCGGACGCCATATTGCTTTTCCACTTTCTCCTTCAGCTGTTTGAAACAGGCCTCCATTCTCTCATGGAATGGCCGCAGCGCTTCCGTGACCTTGTCTCCGTGAAGCCGGATCCCTTCCGCCAAAAAAGGGATCTGGAAATGAGGAGGTTGGCGTTCCTGATGGAGGCCTGGGAGCCCGTGGCACAGGCCCAGGCCACATCTGGTGTTTCTGTTTCAAGCCAAACCCTAAGCCCACATGTCGAGTGTGTGGAATCCAACCCAACAGGACCCCAGTGGGCAGAGTGGGGCTGGCCCAGAGGGGACCACGCTGTCATCTTTATGGGAGCAGGGGCCTCATCTTTCTCCAAACTGGAGGCTTTGGGGTTAGCACTTAACCCACGGTCCCACCAGGCTCCCATTTTAACTCCAACAAGGCGAGAAACACACCGGTGGACACAGTACCCGCAAAACCAAAACATCGGTTGTGCTTTAACCTGAGTAGGTCTAGTTCGGGCCCAGGAGCACTGGTAGTGTCCTAGGTTACACGTGGGGCTGCTAACCCCAAGGTCAGTGGTTCCAACCCACCAGTCGTTCCTTGGGAGAACGATGAAGCTTTCTAGCCCCTAGAGTTTCAGTCTCAAGCCCACAGGGGCAGCTCTCCCCTGCCCGGTGGGGTCGCTGTGAGTTGACGGCAGTGAGTTCAGGGCATGAGAAGCTCTGGGGGCACTATGGGCTAGGCCCTGGGCTTCTAACGGCAAGGTCAGCTGTTCAACCCCCCTGGCTACTCCTTGGGAGAAACAGGAGAAAAATGAAGTTGTCTGCTCCCATAATGATTCATAGCCTCCAAGACCCTGTTAGATACCGGCTCACTAGGAGTTGGGAGGGGCTCGATGGGAATGGGTTTGGATTTTGGAGGGTGCCTAGCTCAGGGACCCCTTCCTCTGCCCCATCCCCGTCCTGACTGGCATGGTGTGTCTGCCCTGCCCAGGATCAACCCCTCTGTGGTCTACACCTGACTTTGCCCAGAACTCTCAGCAAAGGGTCAGGCCAGAGAGGAAGGACCTCCCCTCCCCCCCCCACCCCCCGCCCCCCCCACCGAGCCCCATATTCCAAATGTCAGCATCTGATTACATGCGATCTATCGCCCGAAGGAGATCCTTACTCAGAAAGAAGCACCACATTTATTCTTCCTGAAAACTAAAAATACTCCCTTCTCTGCCGACACTGCTGTCGCAAGGGAGTCATGCCAACAGGTCTCTTCTGAACCCAGAGACGGAGCTGACCTTTAAGTGAAAGGGGCCCACTTGAGGGACCCCTACGGTCAAAGACAATGGAGGACAGAGTGTGGGAAGACGGTCCCCCTAACCCCCATCTCTGGATTCTGTTCCCCAGCTCCTCTACCCCAGGCCTGGACCCAGAGTTAGACACTGTTCGAGTCAATCAAGCTAATAGGCTTCCTCTTAATAATTTTATAATTTCATCAAAATACTGATTAAGAGTAGATTTCCCTAATACGACAGAACACCCATCTAAAGCGAGCGGATTCACCAGTAAGCTGGGTAATAAGTACACAATTGAACTCCACAGGAACAAATTCAAGAAACCTTATCAAGACGAATCAACGCGTGAAATGCACTTGCTTACCATTTATAGCTCGCAGCTGTCGCCTCTCGAGGGGGACTGGGGAGGATGGAGCAGCGCCAGGCTCCCCAACCGTCCCCCCCATTACCCCCCACCCCCACCCCCAGCCTGCTCTCAAGCTGCACCAACCCCTGGGCCGTCTTTGTTGACAGTTGGTGCCGCTCCTGTAGCCCTTCCCGCCTGGCATCCCCTCTGCCAAAAGGCTGGTGTGCAGGTGAGATTTCAAAATAGATGGACTGTTTTAATATTCCAAATGAATGCCGCATGCAGATGGCGCTCCCTGGGGCCAGCCGCTTGGTGTAGGGCCAGCCGCGGAGAGCGCACTACTGCAATCCTTTTATTCTTGGGCAAGGGCGGTGCAGGTGGGACGGAGAATCGGGGTGCCCATCAGTGGTGGAAGGCAGGCAAGGGTGGGGCATGTACACCCGCCGCCCTGGTCGCAGGCAGCTTTTCAGCTGCTATTGTTTGTTACTTGAGTCCTAGTCCACGATGCACGGAATTTTTTAAAAGTAGCAGGACGACCTTCTTCCATCTCCTCCCGTCTTCCACACTGTGGCGCGACAGGCCCCGACCACCGCATGTGTCCACTCAGTCACATGTCGCGGCACCACAGACCCCAGCCGATCCAACCACTGGCATGTGTCCACTCAGTCACGTGTCACGGCACGACAGACCCCGAGCCGCTCCAACCACCGGCATGTGTCCACTCAGCAACTGTACTGCTGGACTGGCCCTCTCACCTGCTCGGCCCCGCCACTCTTGGAACTGCCACTCCCAAGGTCCTGCTGGTGTCAGGGAAGCTGGAAAGCTCACCCATGCTCCCTGCAGCCTGCTAACCCGGGTCCCTGCCAGTGCCATTTCCAGCAAAGCTGGCTGTCACCACTGAGGACTCACTCCACAGCCTTCCCGAATTCCTTAGGCGGTGGAGATGCATGGGTCAGATACCCCTGATGGAAACGCTGCAGAAAGGCCTGGAGGTCCCCAGAAGGAAAAGCTCATCCTGCCCTGGTCTCAGCAGAAACCAAACCAAACCAATGGGAAGCACAGCGCCCCGACAGCCCCAATGTCTCAGTTTTAACGGTGCATAACCCAACTCCCAGTGCTGAAAGGGGAGTATTCAGGGCAAGGGCTGGCGGAGGCACGAACTGAGGTCGGGTCTCAGATGCAGGCGCTGGAACCGTGGCGAGGTCTGATCAGACTCTCCCCCACTTCTTTAAAGGCCCTCCTTTCATAAGGTTATTAGGGGTGAGGACCCAGTGCTGACATCAAGCTGCTCCCTGGAGAGCAAATTACTTTCCTCTCTGGGACTGGCCACTCTTAAAATTCAATTTGCTGCAAAAGCTTGCAGAGGGGGAAAAGGAAAAAGGATGAAGAAGCAATCAATAGAAGCGGGGCGGACCAAACTGGTTTTTGTGCTGGTGATGGCTTCTTGGCTTCAGGAGTGTTTGGCACGCCGGAGCCTTAGGTTCACCTGAGCGCCACTGGACCCGCTCAGGAGTTTAACTCTTCCTGCTTGCTTTTCATTTTCTTCTCGTCACACAGGGAAATGGCCAACGGGACACTTAGGTCCCACGCGAGGTCACTGTTCACCAACCAGGTGCTCCACAGTCCTGGACTGACTGCTTCCACAGTCCTGGACTGACTGCTTCCGAAGGCTCCCAGCCTGGGGGCCACACCGAATCCCCCCCGCCCCCGATAATTTCTGTCCTTTAAAAACGCAGACACTGCTGCACTTTGCACAGCATTCAGAGGGCCGGTCCCTGTGGAAGGACCTCACCCTCACGCATGGTAACGTAGGAGGTCAGCGGAAAGGAGGAAGGTGCTCGGCGAGATGGATGGACATGGAGGCTCAAACAGGAGGGTGGAGCAGGAGCCCGCGAGTTTCCTTCTGGCTTACGTCGGGGCGCTGCGAGCACCTAACCACGGGCTGCTGGCTGTTCCACAACCAGTGGGGTCAAAGGCCACCTGGCCCTGCACCCACCATGCCCTAGACCAGCAGTGAAGTGGATCCCTGCGATCCTTGGGGCCGTTGTGCTCCGTCCTCAGCTGTGGACCTCCGGGAGCTTCTTCCCAGCCTGTCTTCCGCTGGGAGTTCTGCTGAAACCTGATCGGCGTCATGGCAACTCTCCAGCTCCTGTTGACTGAGAGGCGGGGCTGAGCTTGCAGTGCCCTGGCCGGGCGGGGGAGAGAACCTGGGTCTCCTGAGTGGGAGGGGAGAATTGGACCCCCACGTCCCTGTGTGATGTAAGTACTGGGAGTGATCAAGACTCGTTAATGTTCATCTGAACAGGAAGCAGCAGGACTGGTCCCTTCGCCTTGATCCGAAGCACAGCCTTGTTCTGAGAAGAATGGATGACCGCCGAGCGGTTGTCTGTCCACCCAGGTCCTCGGAGGGTACAGCCAGGTGACCCTGGGGATTTCACCTCAGGAATGGAGGCGTCAGACAGATGAAGGTCCTTCCTACTCCACCACCTTCCCTCATCCAGGGACCTGGGACCAAGATCTGGGGCCACCAGGGGCCACCCCTCCTGCCTTGCACAACGAGAAACCGGAGCAGAGTCTCCCACAAGCAGCCGAGCATGGTGCCTCCCCTCATCCACCAGGCTCTAGAACAGTGGTTCTCAACCTGGGGGTTGTGACCCCTTTGGGGATTGAAGGACCCTTTCACAGGGGTTGCCTTGGTCTTAGGAAGTGAGACACTGCTCCTCCACTCATCTCCAGGTGGGTCCACCCACATGCAGATATGCCCACATACGGGGCCACAACACGAGGAACTGTATGAAAGGGCCTTGGCATTAGGAAGGTTGAGAACCGCTGCTCTAGAAGGTTCTGAGACACATGGCATGTGAACAGGACACTTAGGTGGAAACACCCAAGGTCCCCCACTATAAGTCAGTGTCCTCTAAGGGATACTCAGAGGTCCAGGAGAAAACTCAGACACAGGATGGCAGCCAGAAAGTGGCAGGGAGAGGCCACGGAGGCCCTGCTGGGGGGCTGGGGGAGCAGGCGGCATGGCCACTGCCCCTCCCACCAGGTCCAGGCTGACCTGAGATGGGCCTGAGTGTTGCAGGCCCCTAAAACAGCCTGGCCCTGGGCCAGCCCCTGATGTCCCATGCCATCAGTCCCAGGGCAGCCTGAAGCCTCAGGGCTGGGCTGATCATGCTGGGCTAGGCAGGTGTGTCTCAAGGGCTAAGGTACTATGCTAAGTCCCAAGCCCATGCCAGAGAGAGAGAGAGAGAGAGAGAGTGTTCATCCTCAGGGCCCCCGGCCAGCCTTCCTCCCAGCCCCTGGCCCCGAGAGGACACCTGGCGCATGTTACCTGCCAGGCGATCAGGTCCTTGAGTTTCTCGATCTTCTCGTGGCCTTCAGGGTGCTCCTGCAGGTAGCGTTCGGTGAAGAAGGCCTGTGGGCACAGACACGCTCAGTCCTGGCCCCAGAGACCCACCGTGGGGGAGAGGGGCGGGAGACAGACTCTCCTCCCCACCCTCTCACCTCTCACTCCAGAGCTGGGGTGGGACCCTCGGTGAAATCCTACACAGCACCCACACGCCCCCGGCCCCGGGCATACCTGGGGAGGTTTGACTCAGTGGGACTAGCAGGCAGCCAAAAGGTACCCTCAGGGCTGCACTCAACCCTTTTGGATCAGCAAAGCCACAGATGACCTGGACCACCTGATCTAGCTGGGGGACCTGCTCCCTGCCTGTCCAGATGCCGTGAAGCTACCCTAAGTCCGCCCCACCCCAAGGTGTGCCCAAAGGCCACACACGATAAGCCCTCCTCCTCCAGTGGCCCGAGGGCAGGGCTGTCTCATGTCCTTTCTGTGATGTCTAGGCCGGGGTCCACAGAAAAAGCGGATTCAGCTTTAAGAGCCACGTGTTTCAACGGCTTTCTCGGCTGCTTCACCGGTAAAATGGTCAGCACCAAGGCTTGACCAAATGGACATGGCTGGGCTCCAAGGAGGCGCTATTCCAGACCAGGAAGCAGGGGGCTCGGGCTGCACCACCCCAGAGTGTCTGCCTCTGCCCGGACCAGAGAGGTGGCAGGCCCCTTCCTGCCCCGCCCTGCCTCCCTCTCCCCTTCCTCCTATTGGTTGTTGTGCCCCAGCACTGGATGGCATGGCCTTTAAGGCCCAGACCTCCTGAAGGGCTTAGGGAAGGCTCTCCAGAGCCTGGGTGACCACGGTGGGGGGGCTCTGGGTCTGTGGACCCACGGCCAGCAGAGCTGGATCAGGTCTGGTCCCCGGCTGGCCACCAGGCTGCCTCTTTGGACCAAGGCACTCTGGGACCAGGCCCTGGGTGGCAGGATGACACCCAGACATGGGGGCAGCATGGAGGGCCCTCCCTCCACCAGTGTGCCCATCTCAGTGCCTTTTCATAGTTGGCGAAGCCACCCATGACGGCCGGGTCGACGATGCCGCTGAGAAGCATGGAGAGCGGGTTGATGGGCAGGCTGGGGTCGTCCAGGTGCTGCTGCACCATGCTGTGGATCCGGTCGTTGGTCAGCTGCATCGTCTCGATGGCATTCTCCAGGGGGCTGATCTCCACCTGCCAAGAGAGGGCAGCATGGGCGGGGGGGCATGGCAAGGACGCCTGCTGGGCTCCCAGATCAACCTTCCTGCTGGGTCTACAGAGAGGGCGAGGGGCATGGACACAGGGAGATAGGGCAGTGGCCTGCCCTGTGTGTGCAAGTGTGCACAGCACGTGCCTGTGTGCAGAGTGGGGTGGAGGTGGGGGATTCCCCAAAGGACATGGAAATGTCCAGTATCGTTTAAGGTCAACTTTCTATGAACTTCCCGAAACTCCCTTGTGAGGTGTACACAACACGTGTGTTTGGAACTATCTGCAGGTGTGCGTGTGTGTGTGTGTGTGTGTGTGTGTGTGTGTGTGTGTGTGTGTGTGTGC